GGGCCGCCGCGGCCGTCACGACGCGGATCATCCGGCGTGCGGCTCTGGAGTTCCAGGATGGCGTGTACGCCAACCTGGGCATTGGGATCCCTCTCCTGGCCAGCAACTACATCAGCCCCAACACGACGGTTCATCTGCACAGTGAGAACGGGATCCTGGGCTTGGGCCCCTTTCCCTTAGAAGACCAGGTGGACGCGGCCGTCATCAACGCGGGCAAGCGGACGGTCACCGTGCTTCCCAGGGCCTCTTTCTTTGTCAGCGATGACTCCTTCGCTATGATCCGCGGGGGCCACATCCAGCTGACCATGCTGGGCGCCATGCAGGTTTCCAAACACGGAGACCTGGCCAACTGGATGATACCCGGAAAGATGGTGAAAGGGATGGGCGGAGCCATGGATCTGGGGTCCAGTGCCAACCCCAGAGTGGAGGTCACCATGGAGCACTGCGCGAAGGCAAAGGCCCCCAAAATCTTGGAGAAGTGCACCATGCCGCTGACCGGGAAGGGCTGCGTGGACCGCGTCATCACCGAGAAGGCCGTGTTCGATGTGCACCCGAACAGAGGGCTGACGCTGGTGGAGCTCTGGCAGGGTTCGACAGTGGACGAGGTCAAGACGAGCACGGGCTGTGCCTTTGCCGTGTCCCCGAACGTCAGACCCATGCAGCAGGTGGCACTGTGAGCAGGGAGCCGCCTGGGCCACACCGTGGGCTTCCTGGGTGCCTCCTGGGGCTTCCTGGGAAGAAGTGGTAGCCAGGGGGCTCTGTCAGGCACCAGCGGGGTGCTGCTGACCTCTCAGGCTTTCTACTGCTAGATACCCGGTCCTACCAGAGCTGTGGTTAATTAAAAACGAAAGGGAACACCCAGGCGCCACTGGTGTCCTGTGAGTGCTGCGGGGTCCCTGCCACCATCGCTGAGGACGCTGGTGCTGCTGCACCGTCTGTGATGTTTACAGCGAGTCACGCGGCCTAGAGGGTCCCCTAGCAGGCTGCTGGTCCACTCTTCTCCTCACACCTGAGTCATGAGCTGTAGGGGGAAGGGATGAGGGGAAGGAACCCCTCTGAGCTCACCTAAGGTGCCATTTTACTGCTGCCGCGAAAAGCGTACAAAGCTGAGTGTGACTGTGCAGATCTGGGAACCTGAGCAATAGTGTGGCCATGTCCGGAGTCCCGAAGGGGCCTCGTGGGACATGCTCCCTCCTAACCCAGCAGGGCTGTGGGGAATGCCATCCTCGATCTACTGCCTCACACACTAAAGTAGAACAAAAAAGGGATCCGTGTCGGTGTCGGGTGTGGGTGTGAACGGAGAAGGCAGAGCTTGGTGTGCAGTGTGCACTTGGTCAGCTCAGCCACGGAGATGCTGGGCGGAGCAGGGGATCCCAGGTGCTCACAGGCGGCTTTTTCAGGCCCCATTGAAGTCTCAACCCAAGGAAAAGCTATGTTCTGGTATCCAGAGATAGTGCGGGGACGCCTGGGGAGGTGCCACTGCCAGTCCAGGGAGGATGGCTCATTGTCTGGCACAATATGCTGTACTTTTGGGGCTTCTGGGGGCACCTGATCTGCCCTGGGCATCAGGAAAACTCTCCAGCAGCAGCGTGAGAAAAAGTTGAGGTCCAGGAGCAGACAGGCGGGAGGGCTGTGGGGAGAGTATGGAGAGATGTATAGGTTTCTTCTCAGGTGACCTGGTATGAAGAGGTGACTCGGAACTAGGGAATTACTACATCTGGAATCCCCCCAGGACCTCAGCCAGGCCTCCAGATTGCCCTTCAGCATGGCTGTAGGGTGGGGCAGCAGCTGCGGGAAGGGTAGGGTACCAGGGCAGAAAGAAGCCTTGGGGAGGTGAAGGCACAATGTGGCCTGGCCCTGTTGGG